CAACAAAAGAACCAAAATTGCATGGAGTACTTTTTGAAGATTGAAATTGCTGCTCTCTTGGAAACTGTTCTTGTATCTGAAACGAAGAGTTTTCGATTAGTGTGCTCGTTGGTGCGAAACGTGTACCTTAAGCCTAAAGGCTATTCACAAACTACAGACTATGCAACGCAGCGTGGAGAGATATTCGTTGAGAATAACAAGAAAACAGGAAGATGAATGAACGGAAAATTACTGCATTAACGAGAGTTTGCGATGTCATTGCCCACCAGCAGTGGATCGAAAAAGGTTGATGATTATGTGATCTTTGTTTACGCTCGTAGTCAGCCCCTGCAAATTTAAACTTATTGTACCCGCAGAAATGTTCGACTTGTTTAAGACGGACATTGAGTCACTATAATTGTAGTTTACGTCGTGTATGCCATCGAAATTGGCATCACAGAGGTCTAAGAAAGAAATCAGTGCAATTTCAAAGGAAGACAGTTGGTCGCTACGTATATCAGATGGTGCCTAATTCTCAGGATAAGATTCGAGGTGGATACTGATGAGCATCAGTGTAAAAGAGTTGTGAGCAAAGCTTAGAGCCACGCTAATGGCTTGATATGACAGAACGATTCAAGATGAGAATGGAAACTTTTCTGTTATTCAAGGCGTACAGTATCAAAGGCGCCATCCCATCAGAAGACGGTGCACGGACCCATTTTATTGAAGCGTTCGTGCATGCTTCAAAGACTGTGACTCTTGCCGCGGTAGTTAATAGCCGTTCGTAGAAGTTTGCGAGGCCTTCACTAACTTAGGCAACTCTGATGCAGAATTCCCGTTATCTTAAGATGACGATGGCTAGGACAGTGATAATCAGAATGATTACGAAGGTTCCTCGTCTGATTCTTCTGTCCTCCATTGCCTGATTATAAAGGTAAATAATGAATAAATCATAGCCGTTTAAATGTCGATTTCTTATGCATTTCTGTGAAGAATGCAGTTCGAGGCACTTTTATTTCAGCAAATGCAAATGACGTGAAAAAGTGAACGGTGCGACATAAATTTAACCGAGCAGCCAGATGCAGGTCAGTGTTGATGAGCTGACTTCTAACCTGTCCTATGCACAAAACTTATGCGGTGCTTATTTTTGCTCACCGGCTATCTGCAAGGGTTTTTCACCAGAGTAGATTTAACTTTACTGTTTGATTAAACGCTATGACGTAAATGTACTGAATACGCCTGCTATTAACATTTTGTTTTTGTAGCACCATATCGACTGCGTAATTCATTTGGCTGGATTGAAAGCAGTGGGGGAGTCGATCAGTCTTCCTCTGAATTACTACAGCTGCAATGTAATGGGAGCCTTGACTCTCTTGCAGGTTTGATTATGAGCTATTTTTCGTACTTTCGTAGTCGTATTGAAAAACACAGTACGAGCAGGGTTCAGTTACATATGCAGCACAAGCATCTGATTGTAGATTACAACCTGGTACTCTACCGTCCTTCAGACTATCTTTTTGTGTTGTATATTATTAGTGTTTTTACTAATTTAGGTTTGAGTCTTAATATGTTTTGCAAGTCTTAATGCTTTATTTTTATAAATTTGAACAGCGCTGGAGTCTAGCTGCAGAAAGGAAACTTCTGAATAAGCAGAGGTCTAACTTTACTCACAAAGCAAAACCTCTTAAGCGTCTGGTCTCGAAGGAAATTGAATATTAAGGAAAACTTTGTTTTGACCTATTTTCAAGTCAGCATACAAAAAT